CGTGAAACATTGCTCAGGCGGTTGTGCACAAGTGTGCAAAATGAGCGGAACACCCTTGTCCAAGGGCATCATTTACAACAGGACAAGAGTGCTTAGTTCAGGCTGGGTCAGTTTGCAGAGCAGGCACAGCCTCTCCGAGGGCATAAGACCCCCAAGAGGATAGACACCTGAATACATTTAGACAAGCTAAGCATGTGAACACCCAAACATCTTCTAAACTGCAAATAATTGCAGTTAAATATCCGACCATGCAAATAATTTAAAGCTGCCTGTGCTTCCATTTCAAACGATCATTTTCTACTCAGTATGGTGTAAACATGCAGTAAGATTACTTTAGATGGTATGTCCACCCAGAGTTAACTACTGCTTATCCTTCCTTGTTTTCTCATTAATTAGAATGTTATAAGGAGAACTGAAAGCTCGTTCTGTGTTTTTGGTGTACAGTAGCAATATACTACACTTACTTTTTTAAGCATGAGACCCTAGCAAGCCCATTAGCATATTAGACACTCCAATGGAGAACCGATGGAGAATTTCCTTATTTCCCACCACATACTGGGCAATTCATTCAAGCAGTGATCTTCCTCTGTTATCTTCCTACATCATACCTTTAAGCACCAGCCCAACCCAGTTCTTCGTATTCTAAGGGAGTAGAGCTTTCTTTCTTGATATCTCAAAGTACCACACTGTCATTCCTATTTTATACGATAATTTTTTCCTCCCTTGTTCTTTAACTGGCAGTGTCTTTTGAAAGGTAGGACTTTCAGTATTTTGAGTTTTATGGCAGAATTTAAAAAAAAAACAACTTTTATTCACAGTAGATGAAATCTGGCGTTACTCTAATAGGTGACAGCAAGTGGCTTAAAAAGCCTCTCTCGTAACCCCAGGAGATTTGTCATTTTAAAAACCATCTTTCTCTCAAACATCCCAGGGGAGTAGTATCCAATTCAGTGCGACTTTTAAATAATGCTTTTTCCACTCTAAGTATGAATGGAGGAATGCTGTTACTCATGTCTACTGGGAAAAGACAGGAAATAGAAGATTCCTGGATACCAGGCCGTGATCGGCAACTGTGTCAGGCCAATAAACACTGATTTTGTAGGCACCTCGGTCTCTTGCCTCCGGTCGTATTTCATTAGCGTTTGCACTTGCTTGCTGCCCTGCAAGTGAGTATAGATCCTCTTGTAAAAGCTCCACTCTGAGGTATCCACCTTCTTTACCAATGTTATCTTGTGTGTCCTCCCGGGGTCAGGGGATGGGGTGGTGAGGGGGAAGGCTCTTTTACTAATTAAATGGTCCCTTCCTTTGAATCCACAGTGTTCTCCTAACTGAATTACTTCATCGGGGCTGTCTATCAGTGCATTGCTAAAGTACGTTCAGTCATTCCACTCCAGGGTTTCTGATCATGGCAAGGGCATGTCTCATTTTTGAATACTGATTACCACGAAACGGTTTGACTTGCAGTGAATGCTTTCCACCCGGACTTCATGCTTATGTTTCTTTAGATCTTCTGGAGCGCAGAGTCTCTGAAATAGTTATTGTCTCCTCTTATATTGGCACTTTTCCTTCTTTCCATGCCTTTCTGCTACAAAAGACAGTTTTCTGTGGTTCTTTTTGTTTGGTTTCAGACCCAGGGGTAAGGGATTGAGGCGTGCATTTTACCTACCAAATCTGCCCTGGCTTCTAGATTCTCCCAGCATCCCTTAGTCCATACCTGGCATACCCTGCCCCCAACCTTAAATTTTTTCAGCCCCTCCCCCAGAGGCTCCTCCCTATATAATCCAGACATTTTAATCTCTCTCTCTACCTCTCTCCCTCTTCTTCTTCCCCTTCCTTCTCCTCTCCTCCTCCTCTTCCTCGTCTTTGTCTTCCCTTCTCTCTGCATGTGTGCTCTTTTTCTCTCTCCCCTTTACTCCCCACCCCCTGCTGCCTTCCCATAGTGATTCCTCTGGCCTCAATCTTTGGGGCCAGTGAATACACCCGAGAGCAGCTTCCCAGTAAGCCTGCCTCTAATATAATCTAATCTGGCTTGAATTGGCTCATTTCCCTAGAGGAGAAATAACATACCACTTTTGAATAGTGGCCCCTGTGCTATACACACCACAGATCCTAGGGATAAAGGTAGATGACCTTTTCCCTCTCTGTTTCTGCTTACGATTCTGTGTCCTTTACAAATACTACTGGATTGTATCAATGCTGTAGTGTAGAGACGGTTTGTTCTACGAAGGTGTATTCATGGCAAGCTTGGTTCCCATAATAGTATTGAAAGGTCTTTAAGAAATAGCGTTCAGTAAAGGTAATTGGATCATAGGGCACTACTCTTGAAAAGGATTAATTCTTTCTTGTGGGAATGGGCCAGGTCTCCAGGGGTAGACTTATTTTTCAAACCAATAAGTTTTTATATAATGAGTTTCAATTTTCTAGGTGTCCTCCTATCCCTGATATTTCATACAACCCTATGTTTTAAGGGCAGAGCACCGCACCAAGGGCAGGACAGATGGGCTGCCCATCAGTTGGAGGATTTTAGCCTACAGTGCTACAAGTAAATTAAACCAATTTTCATTACGAAACCCTGGTGCTCATACATTTTCTAACAGTATCATGAAATAGCCTAAGACAGTCAAAACTGAATTTCCTTGCTATAGACATCTGCAGACCTATTTAATGGAATCATCTAACATTTGAGTATTTTGATTCTGGCTTTCTTTTTTTCCCCTTACACAGTATATGACTTTTAGAATAAGTTGCATTGGAGAAAATCACATGGGCATTCCAACCCTAGTGCCATCTGAAAACCGAACCCTTGTTTACCCTTTTCTATATTCTGTATTTTTACCATTGCTTTTTGGTTGTTTGAGATCAGGGCTCCTCTACCTGTCTGGCCTCAGACTCACTAGCCTTGGGTCCCTTTTCCTCCTCCTCCTCCTAACCACAAACTCATAGGTTAGCTCAGGAGTCAGGGCCTGCCATTGTGGAAGAGGTACCAGACAGGACATGTTTTGTTGGCTTGGGTGAAGTTCCTTTGTGTTACTAAAGGTGTTTGATAAGTTCTAAAGAAGATAGAAGCATAGTCCTAATCACAGAAGGCCCTGCTAATGGGGAAAAAAGCTTCTCATTGAGCAAGCACAGGAATGCCAAAACTGAGCTTGCCAGGGATCAAAACAGGTTTGTGTATTTTTGTGTATAGCTGTTCAGAGTGCTTCAGGTGCTCTCAGAAAAATAACTACAACTGATTACCAACAATGAACCAGTATCTGAACTCTTACCCCAAATACGAAGAAAATATTTAAAATTCTATTGTATCATAACAAAGCAACTGAAAGTATTTAAGAGCATTTTAAATATCTCTCTAGATATGCTCGTGTGGTGGATATTAGAGAGAAATTGAAGGCATTGAGCTGAAAATTGAGGATTCTGCAAATTTAGATAGTTTGCCGGATTCTTCTGGAATATGAAGGAATTTGTTTTTAAAAGACCGATATTATAGTATTAAAATTAGCAGTGTTTAGGAGTATTATTTTGCTAATTTAAGCATCATTTGAAACTTGAAAAGTTGTTGCAAGAAGTCAATTATATTTTTTATTAGAAATTGATGGATTTCCATATCCACTACTAGAAATTTCATTCTGAGACTCTGTGGGGTTACTCTGTAGGGATCCTGATAGAGGTGTGGAAAGGTATTGAGAGGACTGTCCTCCTGATGGCTTAGCAGATAAAGGTGTTTGCAGCACCAGACTGGCAACCAGAGCTCAAGCTCCCAAGCCCAAATAAAGGAGAAAGGGGAGAACCGACTTTAGAAATGTGGACTCTGATGGGTAGGCATTGATGTAACCCCAGCCACAGTGTCACATAAACACAATAATAAATAAACAAATAAACAGGCAAACAAACACATAAGACAATAAAAATTAAATATGTACCAGGGGAAAACACTATAACATTTTATGTAGAACACTGTGTTCTCACCTCAGTTTTAGTAAAAATATATGTAGTGTTCCACTTCATTTAAAAAAAAATCTGTGTTGAGTTTATATAATTAAATCCATATTTTTCTATCATGTTTGGATGTGAAATGTTCCCTCAGGCTTGTGTGTTTGAATACTTGGTTCTTTTCTGAGAGGTTACGGAATCTTTAGAAGGTATGTAACCAGGGGTGGGCTTTGAGGTTATAAAGCTTGGTCCCACTAGCTGTCCTGAAGTAACGATTTTGGTATCTTAAAAAACAAATCACAGACACATTATAAGAATATGTTTCCATTTTAATTCCAGGTGTGGGATACGGGGCTGCTTCAGATCGTTCTCAGCAGCTATGATTTGCCTCGTGTGCTCTAGCAGGGTGTGTGATTTTTGCCAGCTGCAGATAGTTTCTGCGATTGTGTGACATTTAGAATTCTAGGAACTTTTCAGAGAGTATATAAATGCTGGAGCCCTGAGAGGCAGGGTGGGTTGTTGGTTGTTTGATGTTGGTGGCCATGGTTTGTTAAACAGTCATTCATGACAACAAGAAGAAACAACAAGAAGAAGAAATTGGATATCCTGAAGGTGATGATCAAACTTGTCCCAAGTTACCTGATGCCCCTAATTAGGAATTAGTCTTACGATAATATTGCTCCTTTTCTAATCAACTTTCCTTTCTACCCCTTCTTCTTTCCTATCTAGTATTAATGAGGTTCAAAGGGAAGAAAACGGGTAGAGAAGGGGGGAAGAAAGAAGGACCCATAAAGTAGCTAGTAGACCTCATGATCCTATAGCTAAAACTTCTCCATCCTGATGGACTTATCCTCTCTGTAACTGTGATCCAAAATAACCCCCCCTCCTCGTGTTGTCTTCCTTAAGGTATTTTATCCAGCACCAGAAATCAAACATGTGCAATCTACTGTTGGTGCTTTTAGCATGAGTGTAAGCGCCATCAGTACAAACGGCCAGGCTATGGCGTGTCTGTAAGAGTCAGAGCTCTTTGCTCTTAACATGGTTTCACATCGGAGATTCCTTCCTCATACCTTCACTCTAAGCACAGACGCGAACATCCTTGCGTCTTCAGACACACCTCCAATGTAGAATTTCCTCTGGAACACCGGGGGGTGATCGTTTTCATCTTGAATCTCGATGTACACCTTAGCTGTATTGCCTGGAAGACAAGACATATCTTTGTTGGAGATTTTTTTTGTTAGAATAAAAATCACCAGAGTAATATTTACCACACTTTTCGGTAAAGGGATACATGTAACTTTTTGGAAGATCATTCCTGAGTGTTGCCTAACTCTAGGTCAAAAGGATACAAGTACGAATGTCACTAGTACTGTTATATTTTTACTATTTTTGAGACATTGACATTCAATCTAGGGCCCAGTAAGTGCTGAGCAAGTGTTATTTCAGTGTAACTCACCTCCAACTGCCATGGTAATGCACTTTCCATTTTAACTTCTTTAACTTAGTTTCTCTTTTGCAGTCATAAATAAATCACCTAAATATTCCTGAATGATGTTCCTGGACACTGGCTTACTGAAAACTAGTTGGCACTCAATTATAGGTCACATTGATCTATATGGTGTCTATACTTGACGAATGAAGATCTGGAGAATTAACTTTTTAACTTGTATATTTATTAAGACAAACTCACACACAATTGTGTCTCCTAGAGATATCAGATAGACTATAGCTGAGAATCTCTCATCAACATGGCTGCCTAAAGAAGATCTGAACAAGGAGGACACCAATAGACAAACTAACACGGGAAGGAGGAATTTCATAGTGTTTTAAAACCTAGACAAAGAACTACAGAAAGTTAAGGATGCTAAGAGATAGCAAAGTAGTCTTTCCCATGGAGGACCAACAACCTCCGCCACTGGTTATCCAATACCAAGTGGTTATCCCTGAAATCATGTATATACAAATACTATTATGTTGACTGAGCAAGTTTATTTGTATATATAGGTGTGTGTGTGTGTTGAAGTAATTTTTTAAATTGATGTTTTCTTGAGCTGACTATCTACGCCGTGGTGACTCTGCTTAGCTCTGCCACCATGTTCCGGGGCCAGAGGCTGCAGCTAGAAACGGCCAGCCAGAAACACCAGCCCTGCCACCCACGAGACGCCAGTGTGGGAGATGGCTTTCCCAATCTTCCACACTGTCTCTACAAGGCTGGGCAGTGCCCAGACCATCCCACCATCCACGTGGTTCCCAATATAAATGAAACTCTAATGCTTAAAGAATAATTAAAGGCTTTATATGTTTGGTAATGTACAATAGCAATATGCCTATACAATTAGAGGTGTTTCCCAATTAGCTAACCTAAGTATAAGTTGTTACCCAGGACTTCTCTCCATACCTGCGTGGCTCTTCATCCTCCTACCTCTCTGCTCTCTCCCTTGCCTCGCTCCTGCTCTTCCTTTTTCTCTTCCTCTCCTTGCTTTTCCCACCTTAGCTCCTGGCATACACACACACACACACACACACACACACATCAACAATTAAGAAAAGACCACAAATTGGAGTGAGAGAAATGTGAGTGCAGTTTCACATGAGAGCATTTGGAGAAAGAAAAGAGAAGGAGGAAATTACGTAATTATATTATACTATAATTAAAAATAAAAAATTATAAAAGATCCATTATTTCTGGTTCTTTGTAATTACTGGACAGGCTCTGCTCCAGGCGGTACAGAACTATCCAGAGATGCAACAGTGAGCTAGCTATTATCATGCTTGATTTTAGAGGATTAAAGACGAATAGAGGTTAGTGGGACAACCTCCCCCAAGTAGGTGGTATGCCTGATATTTGAACACATGGTGATGTCCGACTGAAGAAGATGAGTCCTTAGGTGTACTGGGTACCATTGCTGCCTCCTTGGAAACAAAGCAAGTTATGTGCATCTATCCCAGTAAGGGTAAATAAGAGAATATATACACATATACAACACCACATACATACACATATACAACACATAACACACACACACATATACAACACACACACACAAACATACCACACCACATACATATACAACACAATATGTTGGATGCAAGCATCATTTTAAGGTAATAAAGCACTTGGGTTTCTTTGTGTTTTCATCTTTGGTTTTGCCCATTTTCATTGCAGTTTGCACCATTTCTGACTTGCCCAATGATTTTTATCTCCATTTCTATCAATCCAACCCCACACAAGTTTTTATTTCCTACAGAGACTGTATAACTTTCTGAAATTGGGCTTAGCTTGCATCAGCATAATGTGGGGGGAGTTCTTCTCCGTGCTGTATGCTGGATCTGACAACTTTTTATTGCATAAATAAATGAATTAATAAATATTAGAACAGAGTAATAAATCCTAATGCATTTTTTATAAATTATGGTTTTAGCATGTTCATCCTATTTGGGCCTATCCAGACTCTGCTGAGGCCTTTTGGCTACATGCTATGGGCATATTTGCAGATGGCAGCATCAGGTAGCAATGTCAGAAGGTCAGACATTCCTGGGCTTATAAGACCTGGGAGAGGCAGATAGGAGGTGCAAAGCTGAGGGCCTGTCTCTCCTCATTTTAGTCTCATTCTAATTTACCCATAATATTCTGATTTGTTTTCAATTTATTATAAGAGATAACACTATTAGAATTTAAGACCACTTAATCACTTTTAAAAAATATTCTTTAATGCTTTGGAAAAAATCATAATGTATAAAATGCATTCCAGTCAGATTATCTGACAGCTGCTGACAAAGACACAGAATAATTTAAAACTGCAGGTAGCTGATGGATTCTATTTGTGTGTATGTGTGTTGTATGTGTGTGTGGTATGTATTTGTGTGTGTGTGTTGTGTTGTGTGTGTATGTGTGTGTGTGTGTGGTATGGTATGTTTGTGTGTGTGTTGTATATGTGTGTACGTGGCATGTGTTGTATGTGTGTATGTAAGTGGTGTTGTATATGTGTATATGTGTGTGGTATGTGTGTGTATGTGTGCAGTGTGTTGTATATGTGTATGTATGCAGTGTTGTATGTGTGTGGTGTGTGTGGTGTATATGTGGTATTGTATATGTGGGTGTGTTCATGTCCTTGTGCATGTCTGTCTGTCTGTCTGTCTGTCTGTCTGTCTGTCAGTCAAGGTAAGCCCAGCTGCTCAGCTTTTACCCAGGTGCTGGATGAAAGTATGAATCATCTAAAGGCAGTGTTTAGAACATGACAGTTGGTGTGTAGCCTTCACATACTCCAGGAATTATAATTCAGGAATGAAAATATAGATTATGTGCGGAATTTTCCAAAGGTGGTTTACAAATACTTTATGATAATTTATGTGCATATTAGGTTGTTTGCATGTGTGTGTACACGCAAGCTTGTGCATTCCTGGGTATACCAGGAGAGATGTGCTCTTTAATCACCAAACCATCTCCCAAGGCTTTTGTTTGTTTGTTTGTTTTTTACTCTGGTAGTGTTCCTGGTAATTCTTACAATAGGCCTGCGGTTGGTACACATGCCTAACTTTTATACCTTACTTCACACAATGAATTAAACACAGCTTAAAGGGCTCATCAACATTAACAATTCAATCAATAGTAACAGAAAACCTGATGGGTTTTAACTTAAGAGCAGAATTTAAATTCTAGTATTATAGGATTTTAGTATTACCTCACTTTAGAGTAACTGTTCATCTTTGTCTTTGTTAGAGTCTGTATTGCTTCGATAAAACACTGTGACCAAAAGCAACTTGGGGACGAAAGGGTTAATTTGACTTATACTTCCACATCACTGTTCAGCACTGAGGACATCCAGGGCAGGAACTTGTAGACAGGAACTGAAGCAGAGACTATGGAGAATCTCTGCTCACCAGGTTGCTGGACCTGATTTGTTAATATACCTCAGGAACACCTACCTAGAGTTGGTACCATGCACAACAGGCTGGGACCTTCCACATCAATTGTTAGTCAAGTACATGGTCTATACTCCTGCCTTCAGGCCAATTTTATGGAGTATTTTCTGAATTATGAGTCCCTCTTTGCAGGTATGTCTGTGTCAATTAAAAAAAAAAACCCCAGCACCTATTATTCCTTGACAACTTGGAAAACAAACGTAATAAACACCCTTAAACCATAAGCTCTCTTTTTTTGTAGATGTCAGTCTACCATGCTAATTCTAATATGACAACATAACACACCTACTTTACAAAGTCCCAGTCTTTAAAAATTTAAATGCTTTCAAGGCTCGATCTTTTATTTAAAACATCCAAAGTCTCTAACACCTAACTCTAAACTTTTCAATATCAAAATTGAAAACTCTCTCTAAAATTCTGAAGTCTCTTAAACGTGGGATTCTTGTTTGTTTCTTTGGTTTTTTTTTTTTAATTAGTTACATACTTTTTCTCCAGGAGGGAAAACTAGGGCATAGTCAATCAAATTAAATCAAAATTGAATTCCAATACTGTAAATAACTTAGTGTCCAATGGCCAGGGCTCAGGACCTTCCGGGCTCCAGAGGAAAGCTACATGGACTGCTAAATTTCCGTTTAATGGTCTTTTGTATTATTAGGGTTTTTTTTTTAAGTTTTTGCCATCTCCAGAGCACATGGAGACTTAAAATCAACAGAACACATCGATTTATTCTGATTCCGTTCACTTTGTTAAATTCTGATGAGCTGGGACTTTTTCTTAGTAACTAAGTTGAATACATGTCTTCTATAAACTTAATAAAGGCGACCATCTTGACTGGTTGATGAATCCCTTGGCATCTGGCTGTGAGGATTTCCAGGGGCGGGAAGAGTGTAAGACTGTCAGGCCCCATCTGAGGTGACAATGGCTCATGATTTCCAAGTTATTTGCAGAATCAGAGCTGCTTGTTCTTTTTCTGTTACCAAATCGTTGATGCGGTTCACTGATTCAGCGATATCTACAAAGAGGAAATACTTCAATGCAGAAATATTTAACTGTGCAATCATCTAGTCCTGGGGCTTTTGAGACTTGTTCACATCTGTGAACGCAGCTCACCATGCCAGTGTCATAGACCTTTTGGAGGAACTTTAAATCATTGCTTTTTAGTTTTACATAATTCAGTAAATGTATAAGATGGCAACTAACCATACATATTAAAAACAATTAGACACTGCTTATATTTGAATATGTTTAAGAGTATATTTATTTTTAAAATGAGAT